ACACACACACACACACACACTTACGCATTGATAAGGCACTTTGACCATCTGACGAGGACCACCTCCTGCGATCTGCGAAGGGAGTCATGTTTAAAAAATGATTCTTGAGCCAAGCGGCACGATCTTCCTCAAACGCCCTTTTCTGTGGAATAAAAAATGCCAAGAATAAAAATGTACAGCAGTCACTACACACGGTGAAATAATCTACAGCATCGCATCAGAAGAAAATACCTCTCGGCCCAGACGAATAGCAGCTTCTGTGAAGTTCTTCCTTTCCTTCTCAAAGTTTCTCTTCTGCTCCTCAAAGAGCCTCCACTCCTCTTTGAGACGCTCCTTCTCTTCTAGTGTGTAGCAGTCATAAAGAAAAGCTGCCGTCTCTTCATCAAATGATGTGTTGAATTGTTGCTGGGGGGAAAAAAAACTACCAGTAATTACCCTTCAACTGTAAATAATTAATTCTTTTTAAATAACTTGCAGTCATGTCTAACGAAGAAGTTTCATTCATCTCTTTATCTGCACTCATTAAGATGTTGGTACGAGATTTAGCAAAGTACATCTTAACTTAAATCATATTATACAAAGCAGCAGCTTCTGACCTGGAGGAGTTGCTGCTGTGCATGAATGAAGTCTTTGCACTGTTGGACTTCACTCCTCATCCTCTCCATCTCATCTTCATGAGTTTCTAAAGGTACCATCCCTTTGCTGCACTCCATCTGATTCTGAGCTTGAGAGGCTGAGCAAACAAAAGCATAATAGATCTCCTTGTTTTTGTTTGGCCAAAATAAAGTATAAAATATATTCAAGAGAATCTGTAGCAGTGCGACTAAGCAGCATCAAACCTTGGTTATCCAATTTCTCCACATGGTTCTTCAGTTTCCTCCACTCCTGACGGATGCTGTTGATGAGCTGCTCCCTTGCATGCTCACAAGAAGACTGGTCCAGAGTTTCCCTGCTAGAGTCCCCCATCTTCTCATCTCCATCTGACTCCACCTGATGTAAAAAAAAAAAAAAATTAAAAAAAAAAAATGTTTATATATAAACTTAACTCAATATGTAAGAAACATTTTTAGCTTCTCTCCAATGGCTCCCTGTCAAATTCAGAATATAATTCAAAATCTTACTTCTGACCCACGAAGTTCTCAACAACCTAGCTCCATCTTATATTCGAGATCTTATTGTTCCATATTTTCCTAACAGAGATGCTCACACACTGCAGCAAAGTGGCCTCTCATACTTCATCCAGCATTTGTGATGAGTCAAACGATGTGGTTGACTGCAGGCAGGCCATTCCATCGTCTCCATTCTCAAATTCTGGAGGTACTCTTTGATAAACCCCTCTGTGTGTGCGTATGTGTGTGTGAGTGTGTGTGTGTGGGGGGGGGGTGATCTTGGAGAATAAAGTTTGGTCCCCGACTGTGGATATGAGAATGCTGATAGTTGCACCTGAGGTACCAGAAGCTCAAAATAAGAGTCAAAGTCAGAATAAGCCGTTTGGCAATGACAGAAAAGAACAAGTTTTTCACGGGCGCAACCTCTGCTGCTCAACCTTAAAATGCATTTCTTACAAATGTGTCACCATTTAAGGGGAAATAAACAAGTTTTCCAACAGTATAACATTTATTGCTAAGAAGCATCACAGAAATAACCAAAACGTTGTGCTATATTTATAGTTATTCTTACAAGATATGATTTGAGCAAAACTCATCTATCAAAATCAGGAGTCCTTGAATTTCAACTTGTAAAGTGAACATATACTGGTGATATTTAAGAGTAAAAAGTGATCAACTAATCCTTCCATCAGCCTTTATGTTTTCTTCTCCAAACCCTTTACTAAACTTCTTTGTGTGAGCTTGTGTGTAGAACTCAAAATTACCTGCTCCTCGTCAGCTGTTGCTCCTTTAGCAGAGGGCTGGCGTGGACTCAGGATGTGTATCATCTCCTTCTTCATCTGCTGGAGGACTTTTTTAAGCTCGGCATTCTCCAGAACCAGGGCCTTCTGCCTCACCTCATAGGCGCAGAGTAAAGATTTGTGCATCTCACTTTCATGGCTGCAGACAGACGAGTACAAATCCACAGATGGAATCAAATATCACACCCTCTACAAATTGTTGGACATTCGTGATGTTTAGAATACCTGGCTGTCGCTTTTACGTTTCTCCAGAGGCTTCGTCTTCCGTCTGATCGGCTCAGGCAGTTCAGCATGTCGATAGCTTTTTGAAATACAGAGTTCAATTGTTTTAAAACAACAAAATAATTAAAATGTGCGTTAAGACCAACTTGTGTTGAAGGCTGGCAGATTTACAAAGTTTCTTATCCTTTCTGTCAACCAGCAGCTGACTGAGGCGTTCCTTCAGCTTGGCAGCTTCTCTCTCTTTCCTCTTGGCGTCATGGCTGTATTGCGAGGCACGACTTGCGATGATATTTTGGAGCTTCTGAACCTGATTCAAGCACGCAGGTTGGTCAGACTCTGGCTATCTCACACAAAGACCTGTGAACATGACTGGGAGAAGCTTCACCTCGTCTTTTTCAGCTTTTAAGCAACTTTGCAGAGTCTTGATTTTGAGCTGCAGCTGTCTCTCCGTCTCATGCAGACCTGATTTCTCCCTTATGGAAAGTTCCAACTGGTCCTAAAGAGGAAAAACAAAAACAAAGCAATGACTCCAATGCTGAAGTGGCAAGAATTATTTCACAAGGGACCAGCCAACTACCTGAAACTGGTTTGAGTTGTTCCTATATTAGGTCAATTTGCCTTTTATAATTCATCTAAAGCTCTTAAATCTAGTTTTCTTATTTCATGTCATACCTTTATACACATAAGCTTTTAGGTAAACACATTTGAACCCAAAAGTAAATGGAGGACACTCGTTTTGGTCAAGAAACTGAACAAAGACTGAAGTTTCCTTGTGTGACCCACTGGCATACTTGCCTTGAGTCTGGAATTAGTCATCTGCATGTGTTTCAAGGTGCTTAAATTCTTCAGATGCTCTTTCTCCAGCTCCTCTAAAGTGCACATAGTTCGTCTGTGAATTTGAAGCAGTTCGTACGTGGTGTTCAAAGCTGGAACTGCGTTCATGCTGGCTTCCCCTGGTGAGCTGGCCTCAATGCACGTGGATAGCCCCAACGAGTCGAGCTCCTGTGAAATGGAGGCGACTTATGCAAGTTAATACTGCATAACAAAGCATTTAACACAAGAACTGTTGTTAGAATTAGAATCAGTTATTGTCAGACCTTAAATACATATTTTATTTTGTTTCTATAAATAAATAAAAAAACAGAACGTGGGTCATTTTCATACCTGATTGATGTAGAAAATGCACTGAGGAACATTTTCCTCAGTGCAAAACGCATTCATTATGCTGTAGGAGTTTTTAGTTAAGGGGAAGGAGTACACCGACGTGAGGTTGCTCTGCTTCGAAGGGGACATCGTCACATGTGATATCCTTGAGATCTCATCGTTTTCTGAGAACAGAACAGAGAAATTATAGTAACAGTTGGCACACTGCATCAGTTGTTCTTTCTCCTCCTAAGGGGCTCCTCTAAACGAGAGCAAGAATGTGGGTCACCTCAAACAGATCCCAAAAAAAGCACGGCTACCGACACTCGCACCACCGTTGGAGAAAATTACCCATAGATGTCTCCGTTGTCCTCCACTCGCTCATTTCAGAGGAACATCAGGACACGAAGTCACGAGTAATCAGCAGCAAGGTGGATCAGCAGTCAGGCAGCGGATCAGAAGATCCTGCTGAAACCGAGCCCTGGAACAGAGCATCAAACCATGAGGCAGACCAGCAATAATCTGGGCTGATGGTTCACCCACACGGGATTAACTGTCATTTGTGTGCACCAGAGGCTGGAATGAGCTCATCCTCTGGAGAGGATTTACAAAGAGAAAAGAAAATCCATTACAGCCCGACAATGTTTTAACCTGTTTTTGTCATGAACATTTAAACTGTTGAGGCTTCAGGGTTATTGTTTTTTTCCAATCACATCGTCCTGTTGTGGTCAAAACTGGCTGAACCAGCACCATGAGCCACTCCCTTTGCTTCAGTTTGACCTGCTCAACACACTTGAACACTTCACCACATAATTCTTTGCCATAAACAGCTGATAAAGGTCAGTGAGCCATGAGCATGAGCCTCTTCCGTGCTCTTATCGGGCAAAGCAGACGACACACGGGACGATATCTCAAGTTAAACCGATTAAAGTGACGCTAGCTGGACGTAACGTAAACCGTTGACGTATCAGGTTAACGGTTGTTTAGCTAGCTTTAATGCTAAACCTGAGCAGTACCTGTAAGCAAAGTTACGGTGAATTATTAGGCGTAAAAAGTCACGTAACTTTACACTGGAGCCCAACAAGTACTTTTCCAAGCCACTCAGGAATAACATAAACATAATAAAGCTTACCGCTGTCTTTACTCATTATGTTTGCTAACCTGGCTATGCTAAAGTTAACGCCATACTCACGCGTGAAATTGGGTCAACTAACCAGTTTCCAAGTTCGATGGTAGTAAGACTGTTGACAAGATCTTCGTTCAACAAAGAATAACTGCAACTCAAGTCCTAAATTCATTTGTCATCTTGGCTGCTACAACTATGATAATTTTTTTTTTTTAAAACAGTGCAATAACTCAGTCAAGCGCTGAACAACACAACAGGTTTGCGGTCTTCAGAGTTTGTGCCTGGTGTTTTTTCAAGTCTGTTTTTTTCGTGTCGTCCGACTAAACTGTAATGCAATTGGATGATTCGTTACTAAGCAACCAGTATGTCAGACGTACATTGGACGAAAAGAAACGCTTTCAGGTGCCACACAACCATAGAGTTAATGAGTCCCCCTGGTGGCCACAACGAGAAATGTCACTTTCGATTAAACAGGCCGTTGTAGCATATAATTAAAACACACGATACTTTGGTCTACAATCTAGATATTACAATTTCCATGAAATGTTCTGTATATCTAAAAAAAAAATAAAGTTGAAAATATTTTGAAATTCTAAAGGGTTTAGGCAGCCATTTTAACATTTATTTTAAACTGGTTTTGTATGTAGATCATTCACAAATGATATTTTCCTTTTGAAAACCAGACATTCAGAGATGTCATTCTTTCTAAAACTAACGGTGTCATATTTTCTATTTCCTGTATAGTACTGAGCTTTCATTTTTTGATACTCAGTATTACATCAAAACAAAACTGTAATTGTTTCCTATTTTCCTTATTTAAAATTGCATTTAGAAGTTAGATATCTGAAATGCAAGGTTTCCCTAGTAAATAAGCACAGCGGTTATTTCAGATATCCACAATGGTCATTCTAGATAAGAATAATATACTTTATTGGATATCAGAGCAGAAAAGCCACCACACTTGAATAAAAATGTTCCATTATATGTACCAGGAAGTCATTTGAGTTGCCATAAATGCTGTTTGTGGATAGGATGGGTGACATTATAGATAGATTAAATGATAACTTGACTAAGAGGTACTGAATTAAAGATATATGTTCTTGTTATCATGTTTAACCATTATATGAAAATTAAGCTTGCCATACAGTAATTACAGCAATATTGCATCTTACAACACATTACAACACATTCAAAAATACATAAGTATAATTTAAATGTTTTGAAACAACATAATAAAAACACATATGACAGTGAAAATACTTGACCAAGTCAAAATTTGATTAAACGTTGAATATATATTTCTCTGTAAAATGCCCAAGGACTAAAAATAGGTAAATAGAACAATATTTCACAGGATCGGTACAGTTTGAGACACTCTTGTAGATGAACAGATGCTGAGATATATTCATCAATTAAAACGGATTCTTCATTTTTCTGGACTGAATAAAACGTGCATTGAATTTAATGAAATGTAACGTGAGACGTCATTTATCTTTAACCCATCAAAATGAATGTGGTCATTTATTTTACAGAATCAAAGTTTAACATCAAACATTTACATTAATTTGGCAAAATATGAAAATAACAACATCATTAATCAGCGAGCTGTACAATTATGATCAATTATCCACACGGCGGTGGATGAGAACTTTGCTTCAGACATTTCTAAAAATTATCTGTAATGATTTTAGCAGATAGGAGAGTTTAAAGATGGAAAGATGGAGTTTAAAGGGAGTAAAAGATGGTGTGTGAGGGGGAGTGTTGACCAGAACCGACACTCTCCATTCGAACCCAGCTTTTCCTCTGTACGCTTGGTAGTAAACTTGACTCATTACCTCTCTGAAGATGAATCAGCAGATATGGAGTTCCAGTTAACGCTACCTGTCCAGCGTCTCCATAGGATGGCTGTGACTCGTCCGAAGTAGTGACGAGATTCCGTCCGACACAAGCTCACCTCAGCAAGTGGACTTCACATGAGTGGAGTCCTTCAGAAGTTCCACTCAGAGGTGGAAGATGTTATAATCCAAACTCGGAAGAGCTTTATCATGGCTGGACTTCTGTTCTCCCAAACGACTTCACAGAACTGCGAACATCTCAGAACTTCTCAGACTGGAGAACCAGGAAGTACCGGCATTTTAAAGAGCTCTATTCCCGGTCCATTTGATAGTTCCTGATTGGTCAATATCAACCAGGCAGGGGTGTGGTTTGTGACGTAAGAGGTTACTAGAAGTCAGAAAACAGCAAGAATTGTTATGGAACAGATTAAAACTGTTCTCAGAGACAGAGAGAGTTTTGTTTTGGCGAGTTTGGAGAAACAGGTGCCAACTTCTCTGTTGACGTCTGAGAGGATGTAAACAAGACAGTTGTTCCAACACATGTCTGCTTCGACTCCTGACCTTGGAAAACGCACACTTGCTCATTCAAAGACAGAAATCAGAAAATGCATAAAAATCTGTAACAGGCCTTAACATGAATTCTACTTTGCATAAGCAACTAAAAAATCATTGTTACTGTTTTACAGTTAATAAAATTGACTAGTTCACTGTAACATCTAAAATGTTTGAACTAAAACACTTTGATTATCAAACATTTGTAAAACAGGAATGATAATAGAAAAGAGAGTGTTCTTTCACTTGAATTTTCAAGAAAGAAAGTCTCAGGATGGGTGAACCTGTATTTCTGGATTCAAATCAATGAAATGACAGTTTCTGTCCCACAAGGTTCTTAAGGTCAAGGGTTTTGACCTTAGGCTTAGTTTTGACATCAGGTTAAGTTCACTACACTCTAGTAAATTTAATTCATCTTACACAATATTTAACTTAACTGCAATGATTCATACTCGTGTTTTATTGCAGCCAGTTTTATGTAAAATCATAATGATTTCCACAACCTTCAAAGGCACTGAACTATAATGATTACCATCAAGATGTACATTTATTGATTTAAATCAATATGATGCCATAGTTCACAATTAAAATTGAAAAAATAGTACTTTTTCTTGACTGACTTGACATTCAAAGACTCATATAAACAGCTTCTTTGAGATTTTAAGGACTGCTTGGATTAGTCACAAAATGCTATATATGCTTATATTGTAGTGACACTACATCCTCGATTTTCTGATGAGGCATCCGCACAGAGATCCACAGCAGGTGGATTGCTCTTCATCCATTTGGTATCTTCCAGACTCAGGCTGGTCCTTACACTCTGCTATGAATGCCTGAAGCAGGGACGCTGGTTCTGTGCCTTTCTGGCGATTCTAAACAGCAATTAAAAAAAAAAGGATAGGTGTACAGTGAAAAGAAAACATATTTTAATAAACTGTGGTATACAGTACAGAACAGTACATATACAGTGTGTGTGTACTCAGGCTGACTTTGATGGTTTCGTAGGTGTCAGTGATGACAGCGATGAACAAGCTGAGCACCATGTAGATGAAAAGTGAGATGAAGGTGTAGAGGTAGAGTCTGCTGAAAAGCCACACCATGTAGCTTTTGTCCCTCATCCTCAGAAAGGTGCCGAACATGTCGTCCCCGTTTATGAGAGAGAAGAGACACTCCGTCACTTTGTCAAACGTTCGAAACTAAAAGAAAAAGGTTTTGTCATGCTGACGTTATAAGGGTTTAATGAAGAATAAAGAACCAAAATGCTCTACAGAAGCATCTGGAAACCACATGCTTGTAATAAAATACCTTGTCGTGGTAAGGCCCGAGTACAATCCAGCCACAGAAGCAGTACCCGAGATAGATGATGGCAGCACAGCAGCAAAAACGAATCACGTTTGGAAACGCTGCCCTCAGGGTCAAAATAAGGATCTGAGAAGAAATGAATCAAGTCAGTTTCTCTAGAAACACGTCTGTGTTGTACGATACATAAGTAACAACAAAAAGGAACTTTATGGAAGCTCTTACGTTGTATTTTTGGAAAAAACAAAGGTACCGAATGACACCAAACCAGACAAGCATCGTGGCTGTTCCCAGCAAGATACTGCAAACATCATAGCTGGTCAGAAACTACAAAAATAGAATACAGAAAAAAATTACAAGACACATAATTACAAGCTCATAACTTAAAAAAAAAAAAAATCAAACCTTAGTTTGTATTCCTATTTTCAGTGCCGACCCTGCGATGGTCAACGTGTCGCTGATGATGATAAATATATACCAGCCATTGACAAACTCCATGCGCTCCGACCACGTCACAATCTTATTGTAGTAAGCGTGGAAGAAAATGTTGAATTCCTGCAAACAATCAAAAATAAAATAATGCAGCGTGAAACACCAAAGCACAAAAAACCAGGTGCTTCACATAGTTGTCAAAATGCAAAGTTTTCTTTCTGAGCTCATGCTCTTTATCTTGTCAGAAAGGTTTAAACTGAACATGGTTGGTATTGAAGCAAAAAGAATATGGTAACATAAGAAAACTGCAAAAGACAAGAATGCAAAACAAAATTGTCAGTGTTTCTTGAGTTTATTAAAGAAAATCTAATTTATGAGGTCAATTCACAGCTGATACACATTGTGACACAACAATGCAATTCTGAAAAGTTGAGCACAACTTCTGCAACAACTTAAATGAACGTGAAATTATCAGAAGGTTAAAGAAGTTTCATAGACAATAAAAACAAGTTTAAATGAGGACAAAACAACCACAAAAAGATGATAGAGACAAACTGAGTTATAATAAATGTAAAATACTGAAATTTTTAAACCACAAATGGATTAAAAGTAGAGATGTTCTGATCGATCAGCCACCGATCATTATTGGCTGAGTTCCACGAAAATGTATGTGATTGGTGTATACCGATCAATCCAACAAAGTTAAGTCAGCTCTTCTATAGTTTCTTAAAGAAACCATATCAAAAACCCGTCCAGAGTACCTGACTTAACTTTGTTCGATTTATTACCTGAATTACTGAACATGAACTTTGATATAATGATCAATGCCTATCAGTGCCAATCACAAAAACTGATCACCTGTTTACTTCTTAAATCTTTATTAAAAGTAAAACATTACAACAGTTATCATTATACATTCAAACAAATAAACAAAATTCAGGGGGGTTATTCAAATAAACACATTAAATAAGGTGCACAACTCAGATGTCTTATAGATTCTTGTTATTTGAGTCAGAAATGTTTACGATGTTCAGACTCCTTTTGGAAGGCCTGAAAAGAAGGAATATAGTGACTAAACTTTACCATACCATACCATACCATACCAACTTTATTTATAAAGCACCTTAAAACAACCATAGCTGACACAAAGTGCTGTACATTAAAACACAACATAATAAAAGTGAAAATAAAAAATAAAAATTTGATTTGTGTATGTGGTATTTCCCCTAGTTATTTCTTTCCAGAAGGTGGCAGCATCACCTTTGCAATCTGCAAACATCCGGTGTGACGTCATGTCTTTCCTTCACACTGCGCAGGCGCGCGGCGGGAAAATCGTAAACAAACATGGCTGCCGTGTGGAACTTTTTCACCGTCTGCGAGAGTGATGGAAAGTTTGCGTCCTGCAACGAACTTAATGCGACATTTAAAGAGCAAACACTTGGCGGAGTACGGTGAGTTTTCCAGGCTCACTGTAGAGAAGGAGAAGGCAGCACACACTTGGCAACACTCGACCGTATGAGAGTGACGGTCAGAAGTCTAAGCAAATAACCAGAAAAATAATGGAATTCATCGGGCTACATGACCAGCCTTTCTCAGTGGTGGAAAACATCGGGTTCTGCCGACTCCTCTCCCATACCGCCGTAGCTTTAGCAGCCACATTTGAGAATATGTTTCAAACATGGCACATTTCGAAAGACAAGGTGCACGTGATACTGCGAGATAATGCCCAAAACATGGTGAAAGCTATGACAGATGCTGGGCTACCAAGTTTGGGGTGTTTGGCACACACCCTGACTTTAGAGTGTTCAGAAACTGCTCAACCAGCCCACCAAAAGACTGCAACAAGATGTCGGCACTTGGTGGAGCAGCACCTATTATATGCTCCACAGTCTCCTTGAGCAAAAACGAGCATAGAGCATTTACGCAGGTGACTTTGAGTTACCTGCTACCTTTACATTTTCCCAGTGGGACGTGATTAAAAAGGTAACCACACTCCTGGAACCTTTTGAAGAGCTGACTTAAGGAAATTTGCTCATCAACTGCATCTGCTGCTGATGTCATACCCTCCGTGATGGTTTTAAAGCATCTCCTTGCCAAAGATGTTTCAGCAGATCCTGGTGTGAAGACGACTAAGGCCATGTTGCTGGAAGCTGTCACCAAAAAAATTTGCTGACATTGAAGGGGAATCCCTCTACAGTTTGGCAGCAGTAATAGACCCAAGGTGAGAAAATGATCATCAGTAACAAAAAATAAGCATTTATATATACATAGTTAACGGTTTTATTCTCAAGTGGCCTGAAACAATGAGTTTCATGTGAAATTAATGTGATTCTCCCCCTCCATTCAAGGTACAAAGACAGATTTTATTCTGAAAGTCTCAAGACCAAAACACACAGACTGCTTCTTCGTCTGATGACAGAAGGCGCTCACCAAGAACCTGAAGCTAACGACACAGGGGAGCCAGCAAAGGAAGTGCCACGACCAGGATCCTTGTCGTCAATGTTTGATGAGATCCTGGCAGAAGAAACCGCGCAGCAGGCTCACGCCGACAGTGCAACAACATCAGAGATGATTATCTACCTCTCAGAGCCACTCATCTCTCGGAGTGCATCACCACTGGAATACTGGAAAACCAATAAGGAACGCTTTCCGAACCTTGCTAGAGTAGCAAGAGCTTACCTGTCTGCACCCTGCACAAGTGTGGAGAGTGAGCGCTTGTTCAGCGCTGCATCCAACATGGTGGACGAACACAGGAGGAGACTCACGACTGAAGAAGCTGAGATGCTCCTCTTTATTAAAAAGAATCTTCGCACAATGCTTATCAACAAGTCATAAGCATTTCTTTGATAATGCACAAGAGTTTGCTTGTGCACAAAAAAGTAAGCCGTGCTTTCAGGTATTTTTGATTTAGTAAATTGGGTTAGGATATTTTATTTGAATTCAACCTGTATTCGACTTTGAATGTATGCTTTTTTACATGACAGTATTTGATGTAGGTAATTTTTTGAGATTTATTAGACTTTCTCCACTATTTAGCCTGTTGAGAGCCGTGATGTTTTCAATAGCAGGTAAATTTAAGTCTTTTTCAGTTGTCCTTTTGACTGAATCGATGCTGTATTGTGCCCGCAAGTTTTTAAAAAATGTTTTTTTGTCTTGAAAAAGTAAATAAAAACATATTTTTGTCCAAAGTAAGGTGATTTTATGGTTCCTATTTTCCACATCATGTAGCAAGTAGCACTCATCTTAACTACCGGTAAATCAAAGATTTGCAGCCAATCCATGTGATCGACATTGGTGATAGGCAAAAAAAAAAAAAAAGCTGATCAGAGCATCCCTAATTAAAAGTTAGTTAAAATTAAAAATAATACAAATAAAATGTTGACTAAATATAAAACAGTTGTGATTATTTAGAAATGACAGAAAAAAGCTTGACTCCCAGTTATTGGACTTCAAAGCTGAACTTACAAATTGGAGCTGGATGCCTCGGATGATGGATCGAGAGCAGAGGATGAGAGAAGCCAAACAGGCGAGGACGACCACAGTATCAAACGATAGGAGGAGAAAATCGATCTTCCCAGCTGGAAACCAGAACCACATACTTTAGATCAGTTGTTGTCGTCATAAACATAACTAGAGAAATTGCATTTCCTGTGAAAATGCAGTGTGGATTCTTATTGCTGAAAAACAGCTGAAAGTAGCTCTAAAAAAATACTGAAATGGAAGAACAAACCTAAGTTAGCAGAAATACCACATTTTCTGAATTATGTTTTTAAAAGGTAGCACAAAAATTGAGAATTTAACTTCAAAAAGCTGAAATTAGTTTTTAAAAAGTAGCTGAAAGGGCAGAAAGAAGCTTAAACTACAAAAAGGAAACAGCTGAAATGAGATAAAAAAATATGGAATTAGCTGAAAAAGTTCAAATTAGCAGCTTAAATAGAAAATGTTGAAAAAAGCATAAGCTGAAAGTAGCAGGAATTACCAAGAACAATTTCAATTTATCTGAACACAGCTGAAATTGTCCAAGAATTCTAAAACCTAGCTGAAAAGGTAGAACAAGATAGAAGAAAGCAGAAAGAACACGTTTGCCAAACCAGGCTGAAGTAGAAATGAGCATGAACCAGTGGGTATTAGCTGAAATTAGCAAAACAAACTGCTAAAAAGACAAAAAGAAGCTGAAATTACCAAAGTCAATGCGCACATTTTTGCTGAATTATGCTGGAAAAAGTTTAAATGAGTGCAAAAAATTTGGAATTAGCTGAAAATGCTAAAATTAACATAAAAACAGCTAAATAGCTGAAAAAGCTGTAACTTGCAGAATAAACTGAAAGGAACATAACAAGCTGAAATTAGCAGAAAGGAGCACAAAAGCAGCTGATAAATTAGCTGAAAGTAGCTGAAAAAATGTTTAAATTTGCACAAGGAAGCTGAAAGAAGCCGAACCATAACAAAATGTGAAAGGAGCAGTAATAGGCTGTAAACAGATGTAAAGATTTGAAGGTTGTAAAATGAGCTCGATTCATTTTCTAGGAGGAAAAAAAAGTGGAAGAAAAGGCTAAATATTTCAAAAAGCTAAAGTTGCACCAACACCAAATGTGATGAGCAGGATTGTCCTGAAAGAGCTGAACGTTTTGATTTATGATTTGTTGAAATAGCTTGAAAACTGTGGGCCGAGAATCACACTGAAAAACGTACAGAAGAAAACTGGATCACAATAGTGTGAATGCTTCATAAGATCCACACTATTATTCATTTTCTTGTCACATGTTGGTAAGAAAAGAGCAGCACAGCCAGACAACTGTGCCCTCTGGTGACCATCGAAGCGTCATTTACACTTTTTATTTCAATCCATTAATGTCAACGTTTAACTGGAAGTGGTTCAAACATGAAAAAGGATCAAACTTACAGCTGCCTTCTACATTCCAGTCTGTGCATTCATAAATCCTCACATCATGATCAACATCGACGTTAATCTTCCCACTGTGTGCGTGGTTATCAAAGATAATCTGAAGAAAAAAACAACAAAAATTAGTTTTACTCGCATGTTACAACTTTCTTTCCGCTTCAAATCAGGAAATGTTTTAAAAGGATACCAATGCCTATTTTTACTTTATTAAGACAAAATATATTTTTGTGTTTGGACTTTGGGAAATCCTTTGATTTATGAGAGATAGTTTTTCCAGAAATGTACTTTTATAACATTACTGTACTAAAATGAAGTGTTTTTTAATTTTCTCTGGGTGTAACATTAATTTATTTCAGCTTGAAGGCCTACAGGATCACAGTCCATCACATAAGTGGAAATATATACGTGCTCAGATAAATTAAATTCACTTCTTTGGAAGAAATGAACACCTTTTGAACAAAAACAACAATTTAAACTTATCAGTCTGTAGAGGCAACACAAATGAGAAGTGAAGGTGTCAGATTTAGTGCAACATTAACAAGATAACATCTTTCCTACGGATATTCATAAATAGTTGAAACATGATGATGTACGTCTTTCTTCACAGTTAACGTGTCTGTGACAGAGGAGGCGAAACCACGGGAACGGAATTTCATTTTCCATAATAATAAGTCGTTATCATAAAAATATAATTCAGTTATAAACTTGCAAAAGTTTAGTGAATGTGTTTCTTTTCTTTTGTCCACAAGTGAATTAATTTAAGCAGGTGCTGTTTCACCCTCGGTGCCCACTATTCCCACTACCTTAATAAGTGTTCAGTCCTGATTTGTCCTCAGCAGAAAATACTAAATTGAACATAAGATACGAACAAGGCCATCCTGCTCCTGTTGCGTCCTAAATGCTTCGTTGTTCGGCATCCCTGATTCCAAACAGACTTTTTAACAGCTGCAGAAATAATTGGAGACCTTTTGGTAAAATCACTACCATATGTTGCAAGTGTGAAATCCATAAATCTGTGTATTTTAACACAAAAATACAAACTAGAGAAGTTGCATTTCCTGTGAAAATGTAGTGTGAATTCTTATTGCAAAAGAACTTGCTGAGAAACAGCTGAAATTAGCTAAAACATGTTAAAATGGAAGAACAAGCCTAAATTAGCAGAAGAAAGCAGAAAGAACACATATTTGCTGAAATGGGTAAAAAAAAAAAAAATGTAAATGAGCACAAAAATTAGGAACTGAGCTAAAAAAAAAAGCTGAAATTAGCAAAAATGTCTCAACAGTAGATGAAAAGGTAGAAAGAAGCTTAAACTACCAGAAAGAAGTGGAAAGAGCTGAAATGAGCTAAAAGATGTAGAATTAGCTGAAAAAGCTAACATTAGCATAAACAGCTAAATAGTAGCAGAAATAGCAGAAAAAGCTGAGAATAGCTTAATTAAGCTGAAATGAGCATAATAAGCTAAAATTATCATAAAAGTTAATTAGACTGAAAGTAGCAGAAATTACCACAAAAAAATTGAATTTATCTGAAAACAGACGAAATTAGCTAGAAAATGCTATAAAAAAAGAAAAGGCGAACAGGTAGAACAAGCTTAAATTAGCAGAAGAAATCAGAAAGAACACATGCTTGCCCATTTAGGCTGAAAGAAGCAGAGCATAAAAAATGAAAATTATCTGAAAAAGCTTAAATTAGCAACAACAACAACAAAAAACTGCTGAAAAGTAGCTAAAACAGCAGAAAGAAGTTTAAATC